TTGATTTAAAAAAAAACACACCGAAATACACAAAAGCAAACAGTCGAAAGTTCAGAAGAAGGGGTTCAAGACGAACTGGCTCAGCGGAAACCATAGCAGGAAAATCGAGTCATATATTTTTTTTATTTTTTTACAACTGTCACTTCCGCGCGGAAAGAAAAACAGTATTTTCTATTTTCGTCAACTCATAATTTGTCTTGGAATGTAATCGTCTGTTTTATTCGTATCCTCAAAGACATTTGTAGATCGCGGCTGCATCAGGATTTTGTTTTATTAATTAGGTGTTTTCCGTGTAGTGCTCTGTGACATAAGTGTGGATGCAAGCAACAATTAGATGAATTCGACCCGCTACAGTTTAACATTACAAATTATTGGGAAATATAGTACCTCTTATTACGACTTATAGTAAAAGGTAGAAATAAAATGTATCATTCTTTTATCAGGGCTATTCCCAAAGTCGCGCTTAATTATGTCATTCTTCAAAAGAAAATACAGTTCATCTAAAACCTTTTCTCGAAAAGAAAATATTTCAATCCATTTGTCTGAGCGCTCAAATGTTCAAGATTCTTTTTGATATCGCTCATATAAAAAGTTAATTGTCAAAAGATAAAGAATTTCGCCATAAAACTGAACGTTGTAAACTCGCATGTGGTAAGTAATGGTGATAATAATAGTATGAATGAGAATGAAGGTTTTCCACCGTCTCCCGTCTTCTCTTCTTTGATTTTCTTTGTATAAAGATTATTCCGATTTTTCCCACAGGAATTCAGACCTAGCGCCATTTGCTTGTACCATTATACTACAATAGGCAAAAAGAAAATACCCTTTGATCTCTCCTTCCTTCCTTTGACCTATTGATCAGTTTTTTATAAATCCCCAAAAGAATTCAAATCTCTCCCATCTCCTTTGTTTATTCCTTTCCTATAACTTATCTATTCGCCAAAAAAGTCAAATCTCTCCTTTCTTCCTTTGACTTATTGAACCCTTTTTTTAAATCCCCAAAATAATTCAATTCTCTCCCATCTCCTTTGTTTATCCCTTTCTTTTAATCCATCTATTCGCCAAAAAGTCAAGGCAACTCCCTCCAAGGAATTCAAACTTGGCGCCCCATTAGTTTGCGCATCTGGCCGCTAGATGGCACTGGCGTTTGTTGATCTCGGAGATTCTGTCAAGTGTAAGAAGAACCCCTTGAGTTTCTCTTTTATTTCTCTTATTTCTCCTATTTATGGGGTGTTTATCGAGGTCGGGGGAGGAAGAAAGAGTTCTTTAGATACGAAGGAAGGGGGAGAGATAGGAGAGGAAGGCCCAAGAGCCCCGAGGGTCGGTATAATAAGGGTGAAATGTGGAGCTTCCCCCGCGAGTCCTCCGAGCCTGGCTAGATTTCAGGGCCGATTTTTTTTTCACGGATTTTAGGGCTTTTTAGGGCTTTTTTAGGGCTTGGGGGAGTCGGCGGAGAGGTCAGGGGCGTTGGGAGAGTTAGGAGAGGTGGGTTTCTTTACTGTTGGGTGTGGAGTGAAGGGGCCCCAGAATGTTCTAGTAAATTTTTTTTTTTTTTTTTTTTTTTTTGGACGTTCGTATTTATTTGGCTTTTTGTCCTTTTTTTTGGAGTTTTTGGAGGAATTTGGTCGTTTTTTATTAAGGTATTTAATTATTTTAGGTTGATAAGTAGTTTGGGCAAAGGATATATGTAGGGAGTAATCATTGATTTTTTTTTTTTTTTATGCTGTAAAATAGGCAATATGTAGGGCTATGTAGTTAAAATTTTCCGGTTATTCTACGTTTTTTTGTGATTATAGGATTATTTATGGTCTGATAAGCATTTTTTTGTATCTCTCAACATGCGCCTCCTTCATTCAAATATTTAGCAAGGAAGCTGTCACAATTTTAGGAGTCTGGGGCGATAGAGAATAGTTTTTACCAACATATATGCAAACTTTCAACCATATCTACCGTGACTGCTCTCGGCATGCTTCCCTTGTGACTCCTGTGACCCTGACCACTTATTTTAGCACTTTAATAGATGAGTGAGCTTGAGAGGCGACTGGGGTATTCTACAGAAAAACTGCATGTCGCTGTTGCTAATGAGTTTGGCCTTAGATTTGATATAAACTCGTATATTAATTTTGGATTGCAGAAAGAATATTTTGGGAGTGGTAGTTGCAACAGTCTCTGCCCATGTCAGTACTCTGGCAAAGCCTTAAAAAAGAAAACTTTGTGTTTTTGTGTCGTGTTAGTGTTGTTTATCATAATTGTCATTATTTTTGTTACTGTTTCATGTTTACTTCACACTTTTACAGGTATATTTCAAGCCTTCCACAAGCCATTATTGTTGGTTTCCATATTTAAGAATTACATATCTAGACAGTAGTTATTAGCAGACCATCATTATCAGACTGGTTTGCATTTGCAATTTGCAGTTTTTCTATAGAATCAAGAGTGATTATTGACGATTCATAACCATAGTTTCCTTGTTGGGAAGGAAATACAATTTTTATTTTGTTAGTAGCAGTACTTGTTTAGATGGTACAATACCTGTACAAAATGCACTCTGGATTCAGATTACAATAGCAGAGTTTGTTAGGTTATGAGATCCAACTACACCCATATCATTAGATTTTCATCCAAAGAATAACAACATGGATCTAGACATATTTAGTTACCAAAAAAAAAAGAAAAAGGCAAACTTCAGAATAATTGCAAACATTTTGCATCCTAGAAGCGAGAAATGGAACAGTTTAGCTAAAGTTCATTTTTGAGTATGAATCTTGGTAAGTGGAAGTGAAAGATTGGATAATTTAAGAAAAAAGGGTGTTGCCTTATTTCTCCTGATCTCCATAATTTCCTAACCCAGGGATCTGTCCTGGAACCCCACCCTAAACTCCACATTTCCAAGCCAATTGCTTCATCCATTATAATACTCATTATCTTTAAAGATGTAAAGTGGGTTACCTTTTGCTTATTTCCTTGGGCTATATGCAGCTACATAATTGTTATTTTATATGAACCACTGAATTTAGTATTATCCCTGAGATATCAACACTTTCTTTTAGAGTTTGTTTCACCAGAAAATTATAAAAGAATTCAGAACCACAAGTAACACTGTCAACAAACGTTAATTCCTAAAGGCACAGCATGCACTGTGACAGCAGACTGGCAAAATTGCCAGTCAATGGTTGCACATGTATGACATATGGATGTAACAAGTATTTATGTTTTTAGAAATATGTGAAAATGATATATGATGAATAGTGTGTGTATGTATCTATAGAATAAACATTTAAGAAATAAGTATCATGGTGCATTGTGGTGAAAATTGTAATAAGGAAATATATTAACTTGTATCTTGTCCTGAAAAAAATAGGCTTAGGGGCAGGTGATGGGAACTAGCCCAGAGTGCTCAGTGGGTTGTTGAGATAATTTTATCCCCCTTCCCACCTTTCTTGTATATCTTTTGTGTTTGCCAATCATCCCATATTGTGTTTGAGGAAATAATCATATTTTGTTACAATATCTCTTTCAGGTATTATGGGGAGTTTAGGCGGCACTGTTGCCAGAAGCATCGAGAGTCGTGGTATTGCAAGCGGTCCGAGCGTCGGAAGTCTTGTCAGCAGCGGCAGTGGTAGCTCAGGAGGTTCCAGCCTGGCAGCCCTGTCCTCAGCTGTGGCAGCAACACAAAATACAAATTCTCTCTTTATGGCAAACAGTATTCAGACTGCAACACAGCAGCGAGCAGTCACCGATATGCTTAGACATATGCAGGGTCTAGGGTAAGTTGTCAGATTCATTCTCTCTGTCTCTCTTTCTGTTTTATCTTTCTTTTCTTTTCTATTCTTTTCTCTCCTCTCCATATCATGGGTGTAGTTTTGTTTGATGATGGGATGTTGAGATGTTACAAATTACAAAAATGAAAATAGATAATGTCTTGTTGATACTTTTTTTATGCATAGACAGAAGTGTAGCAGTTAGTTAAAAGTGAAGGGGACTCTCACAGCAGCAAAAGATATTTTCCAGTAAGGGTGAAATTAGCTTCTTCTTTCCTTCCCAAGAAAGGGATGGTTCAGATTCACCTTTAGGAGTCTGTGTAACTCCTACAAGGATTAACACTGATTCTTTAAACAATTTCCCTCCTTTGAAGCCTTAATTTTAAAAATCCTTACTATATTATCATGTGGTTTCTACATCACTAGTGGCATTGGTGGTAGTAAAAAATACAGGATCAAACCTAGCACATACGTATGACTAAACTGTACCTATTAACACCCCAGTTTTCTTACATTGCATGGGTCAGGAGAGATGAAAGTTTTGAAGTAATCAGTTTCCCTTAGTTCAGTTTTTCACCTCTGCTAGGGTATCATTCCATGCTTTGGAGAGAGAGAGAGAGAGAGAGAGAGAGAGAGAGAGAGAGAGAGAGAGAGAGAGAGAGAGAGAGAGAGAGAGAGAGAGAGAGAGAGAGAGAGAGAGAGAGAGAGAGAGAGAGAATGAATGAATGAATGAATGAATGAATGAATGAATGTATGAATGTATATATAATACTATTACTATGACTGTAAATATTACTTTTGTTATTATTATATTGCTGATTTTTTATATTGTTATAATTAATTTTGAAATCACTGTCCTGGTCAGCAATGGTCTTATTTCATTTTTACAGTAAATTTTTGTTTGATATTCTCCCCTGTTGTGCTTGTTTTTATAACGGTAAAATTGTGAGGAATGTTTCAGTCGGCACAATTGTTCTGCATGATAAGAATGTTTGATAAGTAAATGTGGATGACTCTAAGTCTCTATGCCATATCTAGCTCAATACTCAGTTCAGAACTAGTATTTTATTTTTATACAGTAAGTAAAAAGGTAGCTATTTGCATTTTTTTTATTGAACGTGTTACAAAGGATCCAGCATCCAACATTCAGCAACCAATTCATTCATAACAACATCTTTCACTTGTTAATGTTCATCTGTATTTTTGCATATAGAGTTGGTTGCAGCCAAGTTGTAATATATTAGAACTTATTAGTATGATACAATGTAGTTCAGGATTCAAAAGAAAACTCCCCAAAACATTTTTTAAGGGGATATCAATTCCAGTGTAAGAACTTGGGACTATATTATTTCAGATACTTACATCTTCAAAGTTAATGCAAAAATTTTGACAAATATAATCATTCATATATATATATATATATATATATATATATATATATATATATATATATATATATATATATATATATATATATATATATATATATATATATATATATATATAATATACATTATATTATTGATGTATATACATTCATATTGGAATTTACATTAAGGTTGAACTTGCATGAATTACTTTATGTTGAATAATGCGATAGTCTCTTATTTAGGTATTCTTATAGCAATAATTTGAATGCCAATATATGATATACATCATACTATATAGTAAGAAATTCAGTTGATAATTATTGTTGTGCAATGAAATTTATCTATCCTTACAGAAACCGTAGTATAACAGGAATTGTGGGGAGACCCTATGGAAGTGGGGGCAATAGTATGATGGGTCTCCACAGTAATTTTGGTGGGGACTCGGCCCCACCTCCATTGGACCTGTCAGAATTCCCTTCCTTATCTTCCCGAAGTACCGATAACTCCCAGCCTAACCCTATGGCTGGAAGACAACCTTATGGTGCGTATGTTTGTCCAAGATTTGTGTGTTGAAATTTGTAATGTTCCAGTAGCTACTTCATAACAGCTTTTGAAAGGTTTTGTTTTCTTGTTATTATTATGTTGGCAGACAATGTTTCAAGAAATTAATTACATTATACTTATATAAAGCTAGTTTTGGTAAGTTTTGAGTAGGTTGTTTTTTACCCCTATCTTCATCAATTCACATCTTTGGCTTTTAACAGTGGGAATGGTGAAACAGCCAACTCCCGAGACCTCTGAATTCACTATGAGTAGTGAAGACTTTCCAGCATTGCCAGGAACTCAATCTACTCCAACTGGGAAAAGTAAGTGGAACTTTAGCTAAGACTGTCATACTTCTGGATTTTCCTTCTTTTCTTTAACTTCCCTTCGATTCTATCTCTGTCACCTTATTCCAGTATCATTTTCCTCTTCTTTTTATTGTCTTATTTTTCCTTTTTTCTTTTCTTTGAGGTTTGCGCTGCATGTGAACAGCAAAAAGTACTTCATTATAATGTAACAGGATCAGTTAGTAGTCATGGCTAACTTATGCATTGGGAAACATAGATTTTATTCAGGCCCAAATGATGAGGCAAATGCCAGATATCTGTGACCCTTGTTTGTTTGTTTTATTTGCTTGTTCATGACCTCTACTTTTTTGTGCAACTCACTCACTCACTCACTCACTCTCTCTCTCTCTCTCTCTCTCTCTCTCTCTCTCTCTCTCTCTCTCTCTCTCTCTCTCTCTCTCTCTCTCTCTCTCTCTCTCTCTCTCCCCCCCTCTCTCTCCCTTCTCTTCCTTCTCTTCCTTCTCTTCTTCCATCTATCTTGTGGATCACTCTCCCTTATTTTTATCTCCCTCTTTTTCCCTCTTCTGTTCTCTTAGTAATTCTTATCTATTTCTGTTCCTTTGTGAAGCTTATATCTTATATCCAGTTACCCCCATGAAAATGTGTGATAACCGAAAGAAAGTCTTCTCACCGTTTTCAGATGACGGGGGGTTCTCAAACAATGATAAAAAGTCTACCTCGACGGCAAGTTCAGAGTCATCGTCGGACTTCTCCCTACGGGTAGCAGAGAAGAGAGAATCTATGAGGAGAGGAATTCAAACTCGTGCCGACGGTAGGTACTTGCAGCGTGATAAGAAAGCTATAACATTTGCATGTTTTGTATGCAGAGGATTAGAGAGATACATTAGGGAAAGAGAGAGCAAAGGAAATGAGGTTGGGTGGAGAGTAGATAGTGAACACACTAATTATGAGAGCAGAGAGCATTACCTCCTGAAGACCTACTTGCCATGAACATGCTCAATCAAAAAAAAAAAAAAAAGAAAAGTGTACAATCCTATTTGCCACTGTTTTAGAAGAATGCCTGTCAGAAATATTTTCTTGAAATTTTTGTTGTTTCATGAGGTACATAGTGTCCACTAATATATAGATGGTATTTTTTGGCAAGTTTCCCTCAGCCACACAAGCAATATCGCCCCCCCCCCCCCATACCCTCTCTCCCCTTGTATGCTTTCCTCTGCAGTAGTACTCACATAGTCTTATTATTCCACCTCTATCTTCTTGTGAAGATAAGAGCTGGAAAGAGAGGTGGTGTTGTGATTGGGAAGTAGGATTCTGATGTTGTGTGGCATATTTTCTCCAGCTAAACCCTAGAATTTTTTTTCTTTGCACTCCCCCTCCACACCATACTAGTAAATATGACTGTTACATCCTGATACATCATTTTTTGACTATTTGTACAGCTAGATTGTTAGAAATTTATATAAATGCACATTGTATAGTTTTATAGATAATGAAAATAATTCATGTTTTTTATGTACATGTTCATAAGCAGTATATCCCCATTTTCATTCAAATGCAAGAGGTAACTGATAGCTTTCTCAACCTTCCACACTGGGCAGTTTTGAGATATGACAATGAAATGCATACTTTCTGGTCCATAAGGTTGTGCCCTTGATATTGCCGTAAGGAAAATTTGTCTTAGAGTAGAAGCATGCATTTTTTGCAACTGAGGGAATAAGGGGATAAGCTGGAGTGTTTACAGTTCTTTGAGGTTAATAACAGGTATTCATTTTCTGTTTTGTTTTATTATTGTGTAAAAGTAATTGAAAATATTCTTGGTGATATTTGCTTTGACTTTTCCCTCCTTGAATGTCTTGAAGATTGGTTTCTATTTGGATCATATAGATAATAAAGTGTTATGTTGACAGTGGCGATGTTCATATTTAGCTGTTCACTATCCCATTATTACTAGTACAAACAATGACAGACCAATGAATAAAAGCAGAGCATGTAATTATCATAATAATATCACTTACTCATCTGATTAGAAGACAGAGCCACTTGATTGTAAAACATTGAAAGGAATAAAGTGCCATACAGTTTGATTCAGTTATGGAACAACTGATCTTATGCTAACCATTTTTAAGTCTATGCATATAATAATCTGAAAGAAATCATTATTGTATTTTATTCACATTGTATGGTGTTACAGGTAAAGTAACAAACATACCTGGAGACATGGTGACGGACCAGTTCGGGATGGTGGGTCTTTTAACGTTTATCAGAGCAGCAGAAACGGACCACCAACTCGTATCATTGGCATTAGGGTCAGACTTAACCACCTTAGGGTTAAATCTGAATTCCCCTGAAAATCTCTACCCTAATTTTGGTGGCCCTTGGGCAGAAACCCCCTGCCGTCCTCAGGATATAGATTATCATGTTCCGCAAGAATACTTAACTAATCAGCAAATCAGGTAGGCTTGAAGGCTGCACAGTTTTCTATATTTAAGAATGTTTATGATACTTATTGTGTTAACCCCTTGGATCCGGTTGCTTCATGTCAGTCACAAGTCTGATTTGTGGGTTGTAGGCCAGGCATGCAAACATGTTTTCATTGATAAGGATCTATGCCTCCCCTTTGCAATATTATTTTTTCTTATTATGCATAAGGTTTTTTAGCTTTGTCATCTTCCAATGTCCATATTTGTCGTTTAACTTTTTCTTGAACAGACACCATATCATCTCTCTAATAGTGCAAGAAAAATAAAAGCAAGTAACATTATGTTATTTTGTGTGTTTTTCTTTCTTTTTTTTCCATAATATTAAATTTTCTGTAATACAACCTGCACTGCCAGTCACAGCAGTCAGGAATAGGATGCTGACCTTAGAAACAGTATTCTACCTGGAGCCAGTGTTCTTCACTGGACATACATTCCACACTCATTTATCAATGGGAATAATGCAAAAGCCCCTTTCTAAACAGTAAATGAGTCAAATCACCCTCCAAGAGATTTATGCACTTGTGGCGAGATTTTCCCATCACCCTAGCCTTCAGTTGAAACACTCACAAGAAGTTCGCATCATCCGCTCCTCAAGACAAATTCTTTTCATGTTGTGATGTTCACATCATCCGGATCATAGGGGTTAACATTATAGACAACTGATTTTAGAAATTTAATTAATGATTGCGTCCTTCATGTGTTGTTGTAACATTTCATGTTTGTTTGCAGCTGTCTTCCTACATGAATTCATTGAATTCTAATTGTTATGTACATTAACCCTGCCCTTGCATATGATTATTTAGATTTTTTTTTTTTTTTTTTTATTATTATTAGGGTGACCCTAGTATGAGCCACTCATAGAGCTTTTGCTTAAACTTACACCATGTAACCAAGCAGGTAAGGATCATTCATACAATCTGATTTTATTGCAGAGGGAAGTTAGCACCTGTAAAGTTTGACAGATATGGAGAGGATTTGCTCTTCTACATGTTTTACTCCAATGCAGGAGATGTACTACAAATATTGGCTGGTTCAGAGCTGTAAGTATGGAGTTCAGATTCCAATTTTTCTTTTATTAGATATTTCTCACTGTCCTTTGGTTTCCTAAATTTATTTTGTCTGTTGGAACTAATTAAAGTACTGATATTCCAGGTACAACCGGGACTGGAGATATCATAAAGATGAACGAGTATGGATAACTAGAGCCCCAGGCATGGCACCAGTGGAAAAGGGTCCTAACTTTGAACGTGGAACTTACTTCTATTTTGATGCCCAGGTATACTTTATTAAAGGCTTATTGTAGTGTTGTGTAGTGAACACACAAAATCATCTCAGATTCTGACTCAAGACTCCTTAGTTTATACATTTTCTTTTATGATAGTTATGAAATAAGTTACAAAGATTGAGGTATGTTTGAGTTTAAGCTTAAATAAAGCGGCTACTTGTAATCAATAAATTAATTAATATGCTACAAAAGTCCTCCCTCAGTCCCTTGCCCATTGTTTTCACCTTTCACCAAATTCCCCTTAACCCAATGGTGACAGGTGAAGAAAACAAAAAAAAAAAAAAAAAAAACTCTACACTCTGGCAAACAATAGCAGTGCGCCGACTTTGAGCGCGTGAGTTCGGTACATCAGCCCAAATCACTGGCTCACCGCCCTTTGGCTCACCGCCCTTTGGCGCGCCGCCGCGGCATACAGCCGCACACCATTTTTTGAGCGGTTTGTTTTCACACCTATCAGCGTCACCTGTCGGGAAGGGGTTAACCCTTAACCCACTTTTTCCTTTTTCAAATTCCTACTTTACCCAATTTGCTCCCCCTCTTTACCTTTTTCACAACCATGTAGTGCTCTACGACCTTTGAGATTAACGCATCCTTTCCTAATCATGAATTCATTTTTACCTTTTTTGTTATCATACTTTATCATATTTAACTTAGATGTCCAGCACATTTATTTATTCAACCTTGGATGTCTAGCACATTTATTTGTTTTAACCATTAACCATGAAAAATGATCAGTAAAAAGGAAAGCTAAAGTTATTTTTGACCTCACTGTAAACTAAGAGTATACGCCACCTTTTCAGAATTGGAGGAAAGTGCCAAAGGAATTCCATCTTGAGTACGACAAGTTGGAAGAGCGCCCGCACATCCCTGGTGGTATCACATCGACTTCATCTACCCTGTGACTACCCACACTCTACTCTCAAGCCCAAAACCATCCTCAATGCAGAGGAGCCTAGGCAAAGGGCCCAAGCCCAGTTTTTGTGGTAGAATCAAATTGCATTTTAACTATTTTGTTATAAATCTTCATTTATACAAACTCAGTCTGCCCATGAAAATCTTCCAGTAAAATGCCTATTGTATAGGATATAAAATGTATAGAAGTTTTGATAAAAAAGAAAGATTCAAAATGGTTTGCCACAAATGCTGGGTTATTGTACCTAGAACAAACCACCACCTAAGTTGCTAGCAGAGTATTGAGATGATGTGCAGCTGTGAGAGCATTAGACCGGTGGAGAAGCTAAACATAGCAGGGGCACCCCCTTTTTTTGTATTCAGGCAGTTCTCTTATCTTGGAAATTTATTTATTTTTCTATTGGAATTCTTTTGAAAATTATTATACATTATTTTAGCTTATTGCTGAAGTAAATATGGAATTTGATGTGAACCCCTGCTGATCACATTATTTTGCTTTATTTTAAAGCATCAGATGAATATTGATTTTGTTTTCAAAGCTAATCTAGGTTTGGGTGGTGAAATTGCCACAGGAACAGTAGCTTGGGTGATTAGGCCCTTATTGCTGTACTGAGGTATTGGGCTACTTAACAGATGTTCAGTCAAAGGTCCTTGAGTCCTTGGCACCATGAATTGGCTGTCTCAGTCAAGGAATTTGCAGCCCATCTAGTCTTGGGTTGTCAGTGTTCACTGCTAGCACTGTACACACAGGGTCAGAGGAGAGCCAGTAGGATATCCCATTTCTTGATACTGTTTCAGCTATGTTTTGCCGCAGTTGAGAATACTAATGTGGGCCACTTTCATCTGCCCATTCCCAAAATTTTCCCATCATACAGTTGATGCATAAACAAACCTCTCACTGAAGCTGTCACAGTGATCTTTCAGCTTTGTCTTTAGAGATTTCAGTATTTAGTTTTTAAAAATTAAATTTGATTTGAAATTTTAAAGCATTTTTGTTAAAATTGGGTGGGTGTTTTGAAGTCTGGATAGTATTATTTCAAACTTCTAAAGCAAAGAGGATAAGATGCAGTATATTTTATTCATTGAGCTAAGTGGGTTAGCATGATTCATATTATTACTGTCTACATGTCCTCTCCAATCCGTATATCTAACATTTTGTGAAGAAATTTTATTGGGTACTTTTTTCCAAAGTCACAAGGGAACTACTTGCCAGCTCACTGAGTCAGTGTTTGAAATACACAATAAAGTTTTAAAAAGGCTTCCCCAAGACCCTGTCTGTTCTCTCCCATGTATAATGGTAGCAGTGTTGCTGGCATTTAAAGAATGAAATACAAGTTGAAGGTAATATGTCAGAAAATTTGTGTATATTACAACAGTAGAAAAAAAAAAATTAATCTAGAGAAATTCTTCAATTGCATAAATTGAGGTAGAATAGAGTTCTTAAACTTTGACTACATATTTTTAAGCATTTGTAGGTTCTGTAAAAAAAAAAAGACAAAAAAATCAAATAAGGATATATATATATATACATATGAATAGAACTTTACATTTTGGCTTAAAACAAGAGGTTCTAAGAATTTTTGGTAATATCGTCACAGCAATATGAGCCTAGGCTCATCCAAGGGTCCATCACACATGTCATCACAGCTGGTGTTCACAAAAACATTGAACAAGTACAAAGCAGATTTCTTTATGCTGGGAGAGAACAGATTGTTGGAGTGTGGGTTTTAAGAAGTAATTGAAAACTTGAACATATTCCTTGATGTGTTTCTTCTTGATGTATGTATAATTATGTACACAGTCAATATTATTCTGTACCAAATAGATCTTGTTTTACAGTACATTGATGTTTTATTTTTTGTGTATATCCCCTGCCTCGGAATTCCACTTGTCTCTTGCAGAGTCTTAGGGAAAACTGCTTTGGGATTGAAGAAAGCATTTTCTAAAATGGATTGGCCCCCCCAATCCCTTGCCCGTTGTTGTCGTGGGGGGGCTTAGGAGGCGGAGACTGGGACCCAATGATGGGGAACTCCCCAACCTTGGGACTCAGCCCTCGACTCAACTAATTATGCATGGTCTTTTTTTTTTCCCCTTCCCACTTTTGTTTCTGTCCCTTCACCAAACCCTTCTGCTATCCACCTCCTAAGGTGTGAGAGCCGTGCTGAAAGGATGAAAGGCTGACTTTGTGCCAGTCCTGAACGGCCTGAGGGAGCCATGGGCACGGTATTCCCCTGATTTAGTTATCTAGCCCTTACCCCTCAAGGGGACCCTGAGGGGTGGACTGCTTTTATCCCCAACATAATCCAGGCTTCCCATGGCCAGTAATGAAAATATATCCCCACTGTTAGGGGCAATGAGGCTTGCCCCTTTATCAAATAGCCCCAACGAAATAAACCCACCCGATTCCCCGACCCCAGGCTCTCCTTTGACCACGGCTCCAAACACTGCAATAACTACCCCTTCACCAATGCCTACTAGTACAGTAGCCAACAATCAACCCTCAAGGAACATTTCCACTCTCCCAGCATGCCCAACTTCAACACCTCTACCCCCACAACCTCCAACATCAACCACCCCATCCTCCCTTATTAATACCTTACAGCCTTATAGCCCACCTCTCCATAACACTACCTCCATCAACACTACTCCATCTTCGTCACGCCCTCGCCCTTCTACCACCCCTATCTCTAAAACAATCTTGAATACTCTCTTCAGTGCAGCCAAATGGGACCGATTTTTCGTGATCCCTCCCACAGCTCCCTACTCTGACAACACCCTTCTCTTCCAACAATGCCTCCAAAAACAAGTAGGCAAAGTCTCTTTCCGTAGCTGACCCGACCGCTCCCGTCTTGTAACAGTAACATCCGAAAACCAAGCCATAGCATTAACAAAACTAACTGACCTATATGGTAACCCCATCCTAGCAGAACCCCATCCAACCCTCAATACTTGCACCGGAACAGTCTCAATCTCACCAACAAATTGCCCAATCTATGACAAAGATTGGTCAGATTGTGGAGAAGATCTACTTGCCTGTCTCACAGACTACGATGCAACATCAGTACAATGCTATTCCATCCCCCCCAGAGGTCATCGAAAGAAACCCACTAACATAGCCAAAATTACCTTCCGTAGACATGACCTTCCCTTTAACGTCTACATAGGAGGAGAATCCCTCCCTGTTCGTCCATACCAACCTCCTCCACGTCAGTGCCAAAATTGTTGGCGTCTAGGACACCCAGCCAAACACTGCCGTTCCACAGCCAGATGCCCATTATGTGCCCAACCTGGCCATACCCGATCTAACTGCTGTGCACAATCACGCACATGTGCCAACTGTGGCGGCCCCCATAATGTATTTTATAGGGGCTGTCCCACCTACAAATTTGAATCTGAGGTAGCAACTCTCAGATTCAAACTCGGACTCACACTGCGTGAAGCCAGACAGGAAGCACGTCGACGTGGATTCTCTCTTACTCCTTACTCCAGTAATACTGTTCATTCTAACACTTCTCCTAAACCCACCCCTCCTACATCTAACCCCCCCACTAACCCCACCTACCTTCCCCAGTCAAACTCTTTTGCCATCCTAAATCCAGAAACTCCAATCTCTAATACAGATACTCCAATCACCACTACAACCCCAACACCTTCCCCTCTCCCTCCTCGCACTCCCCGTAACAGACAGAACAAACGTTCCACCCCCTCTTCCCCTACCACACAATCACCCCCACCATCCTTTGCCCGTACTCTTGAGACACCAGTCCTCTCTTCCCCCCCTCACAAGAAATCCTTTATCCCCCAAAACTCCCAAACCAACTCCACAGAAGAAACTATTGAAAATATTCAAGATTACTTAATGAAAACCGACACTCAACCTACAACTCCTGCTCCTTCCACACTCCAAGTAATTGCTGATATCCATCCTCCTCCTAACGATATCCCCCCTACACCCTACCCTCCTACCCCCTCCCAACACAGCCCATCCCCCCTGACCCCAACCCTGCCCACATTAACTCTCCCACCATCCCCTCTATCCCTTCCACTCCCTCCTGGATACACACGTGAATCCCTTATGTCACAAGTATCCCCTTCCTCAGACCCTCCATCTCCTAATACCCCTCCTGATAGAACACCAACTCCCACACCTCTCCCATCTCAAACCTCTCAGTCCTTATCCCACCCTCTAGCTGCTTCCCCTTCAAATTCTCCAACACGTACTACAATCTATATCACTAAATCAACGAAAGTATAACTATCCTTCATTGGAATATTCGCGGTTTCCGCTCCCACAGACCTGACCATCACATCCTTTCCTCTTATAACCCATCTATTGTATGCCTTCAAGAAACCTTTCTTATGCATACCCTTTATCTAAATATAACACCCGACCTTAACCCTTTCACTCACTAATTCCTTTGCCCAGCTTAGACAACTAATCACTAACTCAACCACCCTTCACTAACATTAACTATAGTGCTACATGACCTTAGATGTCTAGCACATTTATCTTGCTTTTAACCATTAACCATTAAAATGGATTGGCTGAAAAGATAAAAAATAGAAATCTTTATTACTACTCTGCCTCTGTCATTTCATGTCATTTTGTGGTCAAGGTGTTTGTTAGATGACATCTGTTGGTGTTTGCAAAAAGAAGGGTCCCTATATATTAGATACCACAATTTGGACTATTTTTTTTACTTCTTCAAATAGTCTAAATGATTTTGAGAATCAAAAATGAAGTGGTTTTATATTATGTAGGTTTAGGTTACATGAATCACAGACCAAAATTGAAAAAGTGCCAACCAAGATTTTTGTCCAGCCTGGGGTCATTGTTCTAAAAGGTACATGGAAAGACCATAAAAATCCCCTCAGTTCTGATGTAGGCCAACATGATACACATATGTAGCATGATAACTTCAATAACCTTATTTTTCAATTCATGTGAATGACAAAACACCATAGTGATATTAAAGCTGTGATGAAGAAGGGGAGGTGAAATTGAAGTATTGACATGACTGAGTTGAAATGAGTTTTAAAACATTTAATGTTTATTTCTGTTGTTCGGTCATTTTCTTCCAGTATGCAAAACAGATTATTGGTCAGCATTTGCATCATGCATGTTCTTAATATAATCTGCACTGTCCTCTTAAAGGTAATTGTTGTAATAAGCCATAGGTAGTAGGACATAGCAAGGGGTACAGCAGGTAAAAATGTTCAGGCACCACAAAAACAAGAGATGGGTAACTAGAGAAAAACAAAGGAACCAATATACATATACTTTTGAGGACAATATTAATCCAAAAAGTTATATTTAATAGTATTATGTCAAACTCCAAGAAGAGGGCCAATAAAGATGATTTGTTTTATAGCTTATTCAACATACTTCCACACACGCTCACCATTGATCTCCTGATTAGACTAAGACCAGTTCTCATCACCAGTCAAAAATAATGACTAGCAAGAGCAAGTATTTGAAGTGATTAACCATTTTATTTTTATATATACACACATACACACACACACACACACACACACACACACACACACACACACACACACATATATATATATATATATATATATATATATATATATGTACCCCCCCTCCCCCCAATCCCTTGCTCGTTGTTGTCGTGGGGGAGCTTAGGAGGCGGAGACTGGGACCCAATGATGGGGAACTCCCCAACCTTGGGACTCAGCCCTTGACTCAACTAATTTTGCATGGTCTTTTTTCCCTTCCTACTTTTTCGTTTCTGTCCCTTCACCAATCCCTTCTATAATCCACCTCCTAAGGTGTGAGAGCCGTACTGAAAGGATGAAAGGCTGACTTTGTGCCAGTCCTGAACGGCCTGAGGGAGCCATGGGCACGGTATTCCCTTGCTTAGGCCTAGCCCTTACCCCTCAAGGGGACCCTGAGGGGTGGACTGTTTCTCTCCCCAACATACTCCTGGCTTACCATGGCCAATAATGAAAACGTAACCCTCCCATTAGGGGCAATGAGGCTTGCCCCTTCATCAAATAGCCCCAACAATTCAAATCCTCCCGATTCCCTGACCCCAGGCTCTCCTTTGACCACGGCTCCGAACACTGCAACAACTACCCCCTACTCAATGCCTACTAGTACAGTAGTCAACACTCAACCCCCTAGAGACATAACTACTCTCCCATCATGCTCAACACCTCTACCTCCACAACCTTCTACATCAACTACCCCCTCCTCCCTTATTAATACCTTACAGCCTTATTGCCCACCTCTCCATAACACTACCTCCCTCAACACTACTCCCTCTTCGACACGCCCCCGCCCTTCTACTACCCCTATCTCTACAACAATCCTAAATACTCTAGCGCAGCCAAATGGGACCGATTTTTCGTGATCCCTCCCACAGCTCCCTACTCTGACAACACCCTTCTCTTCCAACAATGTCTCCAAAAACAAGTAGGCAAAGTCTCTTTCCGTAGCCGACCCGACCGCTCCCGTCTCGTCACAGTAACATCCGAAAACCAAGCTATAGCATTAGCAAAACTAACTGATCTGTATAGTAACCCTATCCTTGCAGAACCCCATCCAACCCTCAATACTTGCACCGGAACTGTTTCTATCTCCCCAGCAAACTGCCCAATCTATGACAATGATTGGTCAGATTGTGGAGAAGATGATGCGACATCAGTACAATGCTACTCCATTCCTCCCAGAGGTCATCTTAAGAAACCCACTAACATCGCCAAAATTACTTTCCGTAGACATGACCTCCCATTTAATGTTTACATAGGTGGAGAATCCCTCCCTGTCCGACCATACCAACCCCCTCCTCGTCAGTGCCAAAATTGTTGGCGT